ATTTAATGTTCCTCAAGAATATATTGATTTCCTATCTGCACAAAAATAATAAAAAATACTATCCTCATGTATTGTGGTTGTATGTTATCTTTGACGAATTTGTGACTTTTGTTTGCCATGTGATATGTTATTAACCTATACATCAACAGTTTGTAACCCTCTATCTTATTTGAGTGTTTCTCAGGTTCATTTTAGGCGAATAATTGCTCCACACACAGATATCAATTTGGGAGATTGCTCTTTCCTTGATACATGCCGACACATGAAGGTAAATCTCTTCACTCCTCGAATCTCCCTGACCTTCCAAGTTTTTATAGTTTAGACTTTAGAGCTCATGTTAACTGTACCTGGTTTTTGTTCCAGACGTGCAAATATGTTCACTATGAGCTCGACCCAACTCCAGATGTGTCACCAATGATGATGGGGACTGCAGCTCTTCCTCCATCCAAGCCATTAAAGGCTCAGCGAGCACATTATTGTTCAGCAGTAGAACTTGGTGAACCACAGTGGATCAATTGTGATATCCGGAATTTTAGAATGGACATTTTGGGACAATTTGGAGTTATCATGGCTGATCCCCCGTGGGATATTCATATGGAGTTGCCATACGGGACAATGGCTGATGATGAAATGCGTACTCTTAATGTTCCTGCACTGCAGACTGATGGTTTGATATTCTTATGGGTCACCGGACGTGCAATGGAACTTGGTCGTGAATGGTATGTACCTGTTTTTTTCCCCACTATATTGATGGATTGAGGTTGCTTCATGTGGTCAACTTGCTCGTATTATTTGATTTGGACTTCAGCTTTTCTATTCATATCAGAAGGTTTAGTTTATGCTAGAGGGTATTTTGTTACTCATAATGTGATTGGATTAGTTCTGTGGATTTTATCTTTTGTTGGCTAGGATGGAAACAATGATGGCCAACATCATCCATTTGACCGCTTTTCTTTTCTGAGTTGTAGCTGTGTCATGTATGCACTTGAATTAGTTTAAACAAATAAGATACTGTGAGTGGATAATATATATGTGTAGACTTCTTATTCATTGTGGAGTAATAGACAATTGTACCCCATGGGACTATAGGTCAATCAATAACAACCTCCCTGTTATCAGTGTAGCAGAGTTAAGGCTGGGAGAAAATTTATGCATTTGAAAAAAAAAAAAAAAAATGAAAGAGTAACACTCTTTTCAGCTAGTGCAACCGTTTTCATTTAGCAAAAGTTTGGATACATTTTCAGCTTCCAGCTTTCCATCTAGATTTGTTAAATAGAGCCTTGGAAGAGCAAGTCTTTCCATATGGGTGGAGTTATAGTTGAAATCTTGATTGTAATGCAGTATAAAAGGATCTATGAGAACACCAGGGATATTATTTTTTGTTTGTATTAATCCTTAAATCAGTCTAATTATTGGAATCTTTGTCCAAAGACTCTTGATATTTACATGTTATCTTGCACTGCTCACTGCAAACAGCTGATCCTTTAAATCTTCTTGCAGCTTGGACCTGTGGGGCTATAGACGTGTTGAAGAGATAATTTGGGTGAAGACTAATCAACTTCAGAGAATTATTAGAACGGGCCGGACAGGTCATTGGCTTAATCACAGCAAAGAACATTGCCTCGTTGGAATAAAAGGAAATCCCGAGGTCAATAGGAACATTGACACTGATGTACTTGTAGCGGAGGTTCGGGAGACTAGTCGTAAACCAGATGAGGTGATTTTGATGTGATTTGTGACCAACTTGTCAGATTCATATTATTTTTGTGCTTCCATGTTTTAATATGTGATATATATGCAGATGTATCCATTGCTTGAGAGGATAAGTCCAAGGACAAGAAAACTGGAACTCTTTGCTCGGATGCATAATACTCATGCTGGGTAAACTTCTTAGTCTACTGAGCTTTAGTTATATGTGATGAAAAGTGCATCTTGTTTATTGTGAATTTGTGATGTGTATATGCAATGGTCTGTTGATCACCAGTCAACAGAGTTTTCTTGAAGCACATCTATGGATCACATATCTATTGGAGTACTGGGGAATAGGCTTAGTTTGGTAGATAATTATGAGGTCTTTTCGATTTCAATAATAGAAGGAAAAACAATTCAGTCTGTACATTTGTCATGTTAGTATTCTCAATATTCCAAAAAAAAAGAAAAAAATAAATTATTAGTGATGTTCTAGATCAGCATTTTCATATTTAGTGAATTTGTACAGTCTATGAAGACTAGATTCGGTGACATGATCCAATTCCATGTATCCTCTCTGACCATAGGACCTCAATCCCAAAAACAGTGTAGAACATGATTCCATATGAACATTCAGCTGCCTGATCTCAGTCAATGAATTGCTGGCTTGATGGTTTTAACACTTTTCAGCTTACAGCATTATTGCCTGCTATCTTTGGTTGACAAATAGTTTCAATTTTGAATATAGGTGGTTGTCACTTGGAAATCAGCTCAGTGGAAATCGCTTGGTAGATGAAGGACTAAGAGCTAGGTTTAAAGCTGCATATCCAGATGTTGAAATCGAACCGCTATCACCTCCAAGGATTTCCACTTTGGATGTAGACCCTAGTGGTACCCAACCAAGAACACCCTTTTCAGGGGCTGAAACTACACCCGCACCACAGTCGTTCACTCAGGCTGCAGCTACAGAAATAAATTATGTTTCAGAAGAAAAGCCTCTGGTCAATCAAGATGTTGAGATGGTAAAAGCTGATTAATCTATCTCAATTTTTAGTAGTTTGTATTCTGTGAAAGCATCCTATATCCTATTGAGTTTTTAGGGAAGGAGTAGAATTTGGTAGAATTTAGACAGGAGATGGTTGTGTGAGCAATACCAGAAAGAGCTCCTTCGGCTCTAAACAGCTACTGACACTAAGGTTAGGAGAAACATGATGATGCTTCGAAATACAGAAAATTGATAATTTTATATCTATTTAGGATCCTTGCCCAAGTGGTGTTTTGAGTTATTATGTTGAGCAGCTGAGGCTATACACACATTATCCTTGACCAAGGATGGTTTTTCAGTAGATCAGTTATAATGAATTAAGGATGTTCCAAAGTACCGATTATTGAGATATTGGAGTAAAAGCCGATAGTGTATAACCTGTATTTATAAGGTTAAATTTTTTTTGGTACAACCTATAACTAATACTTGCTGGCATATTTTCGAGTATAACCATGGTCATGTTAAGCTCATTTAATATAATCAAATGAGATCAAGTTCAAATTAATTAGTAAACTCGCTTCAATTATGAATTACTTGTAGTTACTTGGCTAAAAACTCATAAATGAGATTTAGTCTGGTGATTTAAAGTTGAGGAGCATTGAAGAATTTGTATAAGATCTTTACCCTCATTAAATATAACCTACAAAGTGGTCAAAATTTTTCTGTACATCATGTTTAGTTACTATTTTATTGTTATGTATGGAATTACTTTCTTTTTTTTCATCTTTATAATCCATAATCAAGTTTAAAATTATGTCCTTTGTAAGCTTAATGAATCAAATGACTTTCATGTACTCATCTAAAACACCTGAATTTGGAAATCAGAATGTCTCATACTCTCATACATACACGTATAATAAAATAAACGGATATTTCACTAAATGCCACTGATAAATTTAAAAATTCATCAAATGTCATCGTATTTTTCAGAATTCACCAAATGTCACTCAGTTTTTTAAAAATTCACCGAGAGCCATTAATGACCAACGACTGTTAACTCCGTTAGTCATTAGGAGTTATCATGACACATGTCATGATATTATTGGTCCATTTATCTTTATTAATAAAAATTAAAAAAAAGCTGAAAATAATTAGAAAATAATTAAAAAAAAAACAGAAAATTAAAATAAAAATAAAAAACCTCCAAAATTTTCCAAGCCACCTCTACCACGCCAAACCCTAGCCTCTCCCCTTATATCGCCGGAAAACGGCCGGCCACCACCTTAACCACCGAAAATCGACCGGTCGGCCCTTTTGTGCCCCACCTGACCCACCGTCGACCCCAAAAACCACCCACACAAACTTCCCCGACCCTGTAAAACCTAAAATTAACCCCAGACCCTAGCCCCACCGTGACCTCAACCACCTCGCCACCCCTACCACCAGCCAGACGAGGCCCAGAGCAGCCAGATTTGCCGCGCTATTCTCCAACTCGGAGCTGCTTTCCAACCCTCCCCTATCCGTTTACCCACCACAACCATTAACGAAATCAAAGTTGTAAAGAGGAGGAGGGCCAAAATCGCCAAGTTAGAAGGGGATAAGGGTCGAAATCGGAGCGTGGGGAAGGGGAGGTAGCCGGAAAAGGGATTGGGGAAGGGAAGGGGGCTGGGATCGGGACAGAGAAAGGATTTTGAGGGTTGAGGACTGGGTTTCGTGGCGGTGGGGAGGGAGTTTCGTGCTGGTGGGGAGGGAGTTTCGTCGGAGGGGGAGGAACGACGTCGGCGCTGCGAGGGATCTTCTAGGTGGTTGGCGCTGCAGGAGAGCTTCTTGGGCGGCGTCGGTGCTGTGGGACAACAGAATCCGGTAGCTGGGACGGCGGGAACGGCGGCGGGGAGGGTGGTGGTGGCTGATGGGGGTTTTGGCTGGACGGGGTTTTTGAAATAATTTTGGGTTTTTTTTTTTAATTTTCTGATTTTTTTATTTTATTTTATATTTTCAGCTTTTTTTTAATTTTTATTAATAAAGATAAATGGACCAATAATATCATGACATGTGTCATGATAACCCCTAATGACTAACGGAGTTAACGGCCGTTGGTCATTAATGGCACTCGGTGAATTTTTAAAAAACTGAGTGGCATTTGGTGAATTCTGAAAAGTGCGATGGCATTTGATGAATTTTTAAATTTGTCAGTGGCATTTGGTGAAATATCCGTAAAATAAAATCCAGTCTTTATGTTTTCTTCATTCTCAAATTTGCCGGTTCTAATTGACTGAACTGAAAATAACCTGAAGAGAACAGATCGTAAGTTTTAATTTTTATCGAGTTTGAAAACTAGCCATTAGTATTTACACATACATCTAAACCAGACATTACACGGACAAACTCACATACAAAGCATGATTATGCACTATAACAATTTTATTAAAAGAATCAATACAAATCAAAAGTAGGACCCTAAGTCCAATAATATATAATTAAAAAAAATAAAAAATCGACCGACAAAAAATTGAAGAATATGCCTCATTGTATTTGGTAACATGAATTAAACAAGAACCCAGATTGCAAAAACAATCAAAGAACCAAAAACTGTAGAAAATCTGATAGAAGAAGCAGCTGCAGTTGGAATAGACCCAAAATTTTGTTGGTAAGAAGGTCCATCAGCTGCAGTTTCTGCCTCTGATGGTGCATAAGCGATAGCGCCTTTTCCATCAAGAAAGATGTGAAGTTTCTGGCCTTTTTGGCAATGTCCTGCTTCTCCACTTGTGAAGTAGAAATCTCCAGGTTGTGTTATGTTGAATAGTGAGTTTCCATCATTCATGAACAAGATTGGATCTTTTATGTTGCATGTTTTGTATGATTGTGGTGTTACCTGTATTACTGAATCTTGGCTTGGTGGGTACAAAAACACTGCATTTCCACAACATTATATTGTTATTATTAGTCACATTAGCATTGCGAGGATTCTCTTCAATTACTAGACCATCATAGATTGACATAAGTCACAACATACAATGAGATCATTTTTGGAACAAGTTAATAGTACCACATAAAAAAAATGTTCCATTTAACATAAATATCACAATAAATAAATCAAAAGTACGAAATAATATTTAGAGACGGAGGGAGTAGTATAGGGACTTACTAAGAGAATCGCCGACTCTGAAACTGGTTTTATTGGACCATTTGATGTAGACATCTGGATTAGCAGCAGTAGGGATGTTCCAAGCGCTCAAGTCTCCAACTTTGTGCTGAAAACAGAACACTTTGGCTTGCAATAAAATTAGAAGCTGCAAAGTGTAGAAGAATAAGCACTTTGGACTCATAACACTCGACATTTTTTCTTTCTCCTATCAAGTTTCAAACTCTCTAGTTTGTACAAAAATAAAGGACAGTTGCTTAATATTCTTTCACTCGATCCTCTCGTGTTTATAACACTTGCATTTTTATATTAAGGGATTTAGGAGGCAGAAATGCCAGCGATTGGCCAGATTGGTTTCTCAAAAGAAGACACTACTCGTGAGCTGTTTGACATAAATACCCTTCATCTTCTATTGGATTAATAATGATTACTATTGTTACTATGCTTCAATAATGTTGGCATGGATCCATTGAATATGTAACAAGTCTAGAATGATCGTGACCAACTCGAGCTCAACTTGGTTAGAGTTGAGTTTGACTCAATGTTGAGCTGACTCTAAACTTTAAAACCATCTTATTCGGCAAAAGGTTAGTTTAAGACATTGTGAAAGGAATCAAAGTCGAGCTAAGTTAAAAGCCATGCCTAAGTATTTTACATTCGTCAAGCTCAACCTCGGCTCCTTATTTCCCTAGTATGCATTAGGGAAGTCTGCTAATGGAGTGATAGTAAATTAGTAATCCTTACTCAGCTTTGACTTTTTACAAAAAAAAACTTCACAAGATTAGATCAAGTGAAAGACATTAGGGAGTGCTAGGATAGAAAAAGACTTTCTTGAATTGAAAAGGCTAAGAATTGAAATTAATCAATAATAAGCTAGATAGTTGCACATGTGCCAGTTGGGTTAGCATGCTTTGAAGACAACAAACTAACATGGGAAGTGATTCATCAAACAAGGGATGCTCAAGTAGTCAAGTAGGAAAGTTTTAACAATTGAGTCAAGTTTAACTAGAATATATGGTAGTATGGCACAACACTAGATCTTTATACTGCACCATTTCACCAAGGCAACCTCATTGCAAATGGCATTGGAGCTGGATGGTCCATAGCAAGAATGCCCGTGTATCCTTCTAGCCTCAATACACTAGAGTTTAAGCGCGAGCTGAATGTTAGATGTCATCTTCGAGAATCTTGTACTTGACAATACATAAACGTCTAAAAAGAATTTTACCAGGCTCATCACATTAGATGCAAAATCATTTTGACCGGTCTAGGATATACTCGAGTCTCTGGAAACTTATCAATGTTGAAAGATACATTATGGCAGTTGCCGCTAGTCAGGTAGTTTTCTAAGTTACCAAAGAGAAGTAACCCCTTAAGGTTGGCTAGTTCCAATCTTGCATTATGTTTCATTGTATTATCCAAAACAAATGCAAATTGCATATTTCATGTGCCAAATCACATGGCTTCTCACAATTGACTCAAAAAACAACACTGCTGTTCAATAATATTCTAGCATCATCCAACTTGTCCCTTCGTTATTAAATATATCTTCCATTAACTTTTCAATTAGGAAGGGAATATGACTATTATTTCTAGGTGAATCGCTAAACATCGCCCGCAAATTACCATATAAAGCCCACAAATATGACTTGGTGTGACCATTATGCCCATTTTCTAAAATTGAAATAATCTCGGTTTAAAAAATGTGGAGCCGTACTGGCTCGCCGGGGGAGACCGGAGGGCAGGCCGGAGATGCGGGGGACGCCGGAGGTACGTCGTCGTCGACGGAAAACGAGGTAAGTCACCGTTAAAATTCACGGTTTACCGTCGGAGTGGCTCCGGCGCCTAGGATAGACGCCCAAACCGTAGCCTGGACGTCCAAGCCAGACGCCAGAACCACCACAGTGGCGTCCAGCCCAGACGCCCAGACCACCAGACTGGCGTCTTGGCCAGGCGCCACTCTACTGGTTGAGGCGGCCCTGCCAGGCGTCAGTCCAGTGGTTGTGGCAGCCCTGGCAGACGCCACCTTTATATATTATTTTTTTTTTTCTTTTTTGATTTTGTTGTTGTTTTTTATTTATTTATTTATTTTTTAAAAAAAAAATCGAAAATGATTTTTTAAAAAAAATTCGAAATGGGTTTTTTTAAAATTAATTTTGAAAATTCGAAATAGGTTTTTTTAAAATTAAGTTTGAAAATTCGAAATGGTATATTTTTAAATTTAGTTTGAAAATTCGAATTGGGTTTTTATAAAAATTAAGTTTGATTATACATAATTATGCTTTTTTTGTGTTAATTCGGTGTAAATATAGAAATTAAATGTATTATCCGTTAAATGTATTTATTATAATATATAATTGATGCAGGATTATGGTGGAGACGGAAATGATTACAGTGGGATATTTGGACATGATGGTCCATTCGAAGAAGCTCAACAGGCGATTGATTGGGCAAAACAGGTTGCAATTGCAGCTGGATTTTGCTTGGTAGTAGTAACTCATAAATCTCAACGGGATGGTAGAATGGATCGCATTTTGAGATGTGATCGTTATCGCAAAAGAGAAGAAAGAGATTTTCGTACAGCCACTCGGTTTGATACAAAGCGGAAAGGTTGTGGGTGTGAGTTCAGAGTAAAGGTTCGACAACTACGGAGTCGTGACGGTTGGGAAGTGATTGGTTACTCTAAATGGGGGTATCACAACCATGAGATGATAGTATATGAAGAGGGTCATCGACAGCTGAGCGGCTTAAGTCCTGCTGCGAAACTAGTTGTGAAAGAAATGAGTGATGCTCAAGTCAAGCCTGCTAAAATATTAGCATCTTTGTTAGAGAAATTTCCAGAAGACCATCCAAACCGAAGACACATCTACAACGTCAGACAGCAACTCAGGTTTGAACGGTCAGAGGAAAGGAACCCTATACAGCAGCTGCTACACCAGGCACAATCACGTGGTTACCTGTTCTGGTTTGATTCTGATGAAGATACAGCGGAGGTGACTCATCTTTTCCTTGTGCATCCTGATTGTGCTGATATGATCAAGTCTTGGCCATTTGTGATTTTGATCGACTCAACGTACAAGACAAACAAGTACAAGTTCCCACTGGTTGAGATCATGGGGATGACTCCAACGAACCAGAACTTTCTGATTGGTCATGCAATCATCAAGGATGAGACGGCTCCAAGTTATTATTGGGTGTTGGAGAAGCTGAGAAACTACATCGGGCCTAATGTTCATCCAGCAGCCATCGTCAGCGACTGTGAGAGAGGTCTCTTTTCCCCCATAGCAGAGCTGTTTCTAGAATCGAACCACTTATTGTGCACATGGCACATCAACAACTGCGTGAAAGTGAAAGCCTACAACCTTTTCAACAAGAATTTGGAAATGGCAGAGAGATTGGTGAATGGTAAGTGGCGGAAGATCCTACAGGGTACCACAGAGGAAGCGTATGAGCGAGCATTGGCTAACTTCAGGGATTCGTACCAGTGGTGTCCGGCACTGGTGGACTATGTGATGCAGCAATAGGTCCCTCACAGGGAAAAGCTTGTCAAATATTGGTACTTCATTTCGGGAACACTACAACATGTAGAGTTGAGAGCGCTCATAGAGCTACCAAGGACTGGATTGATTCATCGACCGCTTCTTTGGATACACTGTTCGATAGACTTAACAAGTCAATTGAAACTCAGAAGAACGGCATCAGGAACTCTCTAGAGGACTCCAGACGACGACATGGTACGATGTATAACCATTTTATATTTAAGATTCTCCATGGTCGTGTGTCGCACTACTGCTTGGGGTTGATTCTCACTGAGCTGAACAGGATGAGGGACTTGGCTGACGAAGTGTATGCTCGGTGTGGGTGTGCTATTTCAGTAACTCATGGATTACCTTGCGCATGCACCATTCACCGCGTTATTACAGAAGAAAGGGCGTCATTACATGTTGATCAGGTCCATTCATTCTGGAGGACGCTCGTTATTGGTGAGCATGCAGACACTCAAACGGCCGACCGTGAACAGGAGGAGTTGGAGCAGTTTCGTTCGATGTACGACCGAGTGTCCTCCAGCCATCCTTCTATTATTCGTGACGCTACTCATGTACTTCATGACATGTTCCACACGTCTACCTTAGATTATGAGGAACCCGAAGGAGTTGACCGTCCTCGAGGTCGACAACGGCGGAACAGGAGTGTGTTTGAGTATATCCGTGGTCTTGGTCGTGGTCGTGCTCGTGGTCGGACATCGTCATCTAGTCGTAGTCAATCTTCATCGTCTGTGAATATGCCCCTAAGAACTGGTACGTTTTGGTTGTTTACATTGCACATAGTTTTAAATTGTTACTCTTGCCTTCTTAACTGTCTATAATTATATGGTGAATAGGAAGAAACGATGTTGATCAGTTTCCGTACAAGGAAAGGATACCTGCGATCATCATGCCGTACTTGGAAGGGTGGAATGATCTAGTCGGAGATGGTAACTGCGGATTCCGGGTCGTGGCTGATGTTTTTCAAATGGGCGAAGGCAACTACGGTTTGGTGCGTCAGTTGATGTACGGCGAAATTGCCTCTAACCGAAATGTTTATCGTCATGTGTACCAGGATGACTTGGATGGCGCTCTGCGGCGTATTCGGTTGGGAGGTGGACCTTGCGGCCAAAATCATTATTTTGACGCGCCCCTAGATCTGTTTGCCGTTGCAAACATTTACAAATGCGCAGTCATGCATTTCGGCCTGGGAGTGCATAGTCAAGCTTATTATCCTTGTACCACGGTTCTCCCTTGACGGTCGCGTGAGACTGTCACCACACCGGTCAGAGAGGTAGCTATTGCGTTTCTTGGGTCGTCATACAGACATTTCATCCGACTAAACATGTCATCCGATTTTCCAGTGCCACCGATTATACCTCGGTGGTACACCATTCGCACAGCGAGCGTAGAGGGTTGGGATGCGCTATATCATGACCGGATCCACGAATGGAACACCCTAGCTGCATTTTAGTTTTTCATGTTTACATTCTTCCTATGTAATCTTATTTGTACGTTGCTCTTTTAATGAGAACATTCATCTTTTATATTGTATTGCTTACTGCATTCTATATGTTGCATGGGTAAGTTGCGCGGATCCACGAACGGTTATATCAAAATTTAAAAACAGCAATGATAATATGTTTAAGTTGGAAGCTAAAAGAACAATCTAAAATGTTACAAACTTACAACATAATGTCCAATTTAATAAATTAAAACGATAATATTTAAAGTGCTCTATAAATAAAATGACAAAACCATCAGTAATCCCTCCTCGACGACGACTCCCACTGCGCAAGGGTCTGTTCCAGACTATCAACAACAGCTCTCACTGTTGCACTCATGCTATCCTTCTCAAGAGAGAGTTTATGTACGTCCTGCATTATTTTTCTCATCCACTGCATACAACAAAAAATAAAAGATGAAATACAATAACAACATATAAAACTTAATTAAAAGACAACGATAAATATAATATGAGACATACCGCTTCCATGGCAGTAGGCGGTGGCACATAATCATCATCGTCGTGGTCGAGATCTGCGATCAACCTCGGGTGCGAATACCGGTTAAACCATTCCATGTAGTAATGGTCACACATGGGAGGAACCCCAGAGGGCAGCCGCTGCAACTCCGCAGTCCATAAGCGGGCCACCATCGGAAACTGGTCCCACGTCCCGGTCATGATATCCGGCCATTGCACGACGTAGTCCCTCGACGATGCAGGTCGGACCGCCTTCATCTGGCATGACGAAGACAACGCTGGGGCATGTGCGCCTCGACGATCTCACGATACTGAATGAGTCCCGTGTACAGGGTCCTGGGTACCCTAACACTAGGGTTCGGGCCGAAAGGCATCCAGTTCACGTGCACATAGTTTTAAAATTTAATAACATGAATATAATATGTTACCTCTAAGGGGGATAGCCTGTCCAGCAATAACCGTATCGATCGGAGGCGGTCAACGGACTTCTTCTCCGAGCGCGGACTCCACGCACAAGCACGCGGCATCCCCTCATCAATAGGAACCGGGTCACGATGTGGTCGCAATGCAGGAAAGTACTCGTATATCCAGGTCTGCAATAGAGTCAGACACCCAGTGATACCTGCCGCGTCAGCCCGACTCGCAAATCCTAGTTGGCGATACAAATACGCCAACGTAGCCGATCCCCAAGAAAACTGGCCTACACTGTCGGGGTCACACGTCTCTACTATGTCTCGTGGCCTGAGCTTGTTTCTGCCGCTCTTATCCGGAAACAAGGTACATCCGAGGAGTAGAAAAACATAAGCACTCAGCTGTGCGTCGTGCGTCCTACGTGCACTGGGGTACAAACACCGCTGCAACACGGATGCGATCTTCACACCGCCGTGTTCCCAAACACCAAGCGCCTCGGTGTACAGTGCAGCCCTGTCCACCGCCAACAACTCCGCCAGCAAATCTGTCTGATCCGCATCAGCCACAGCACAAAGTCGTTTACCCTCAACACGAATCCCCAGAATGGCCTCGACGTCATGTAACATGATCGTCATCTCAGCGAACGGAAGGTGGAAAGAGTTTGTATCCGGCTGCCATCGCTCAATGAAAGCCGTGATCAGCGTACTGTCAATCTTATCGTGCATGGTGGCAGGAACGTGATTCACCCCAGTGCCCTCCAGTCGCTCGAACATCTCGCTCTCCGCCGGCCAAGCCTCAGCCCATGTACGCAAAAAGCTACAAGTATTTTCCCGGGTATGACATTTCAACAACCCCGTAACTGAAGGCCTCTCCTGGTCCTCCCAAATACGGGCAGCTATGTGTCCTAGAAAGCTAGAAATCACACTCCCGTCAACAGGCCCACCGGGCACCTCACTCCTAACAACCCAAGAATCATTAACGACCCTCGACCGTTTCCTGCTTGACCCAGATACAGTGGACGCAGATGATGTGCCAGATCTACTAACAAACCTACCACCCCTACCCTTACGCACCTCCACCATATGTGTCTCGTACATGTCATCAACCCTCTGACTGAATGGACCGTAATCATCATACGGTCCACTGCCATCGTCCACATCCTCATCCTCATCCGCGCCCTCCTCCTGCTCCTCCTCTTGGTCACCCTCCTCAGCATCATCATCGTCATCCTCATCCCGACGGTGGATCCGTTCTCTACGAGCCGAGGCCGAAATAGCACGGGATCTAACATGTTTATGCCCCGACCTCTCCACTGAATAGCTTCTACTAAGAAGCTCTACATTCTTCCCTGCACCATGACGACGCAGTGAATTCTACAAAAAATTTAAAAATATATAAACATACAAAAAATTATACGAAAAATAGCTACCACTACCCAAATCAAATAAACTAAAAACATACTAACAAATTAACATAATAAAGAAATTAACAAAACACTTAAATAAAAATAATAGAATAAAAAATACACTAAGAAAGGAAATAAAACCAACACATAAGAATATATATAAACATAAATAATTCATTCCCAATTAAAATAAATTAACTAACCAAAAACAATATCAATAATAAAAATTAAAATAAATTAACTAACCAAAAACAATATCAAATGAACAAAAAAATGTACTAACAAATTGAAATTGAGAATAAAAATAAAAATGTACAAATAAAACAAACAAATAATTGTAAACAAAATATAAACATAGAAAAAATAGTTGTATTTTTAAAATGTACAAATAAAACAAACAAATAATTGTAAACAAAATATAAACATAGAAAAAATACAACAAAATTGATAAAATTTATAAAAATAAACAACAAAATATAAAAACAATAGAAAACGATATTACACAAAAAAAAAAACAATATTTTAATACAAATTAAAAAAAAAGGGGGGGCGCCTTGGCTGGACGCCCAACGGTGGTGGCGCCAGCTACAGACGCCGCAACCAGTGGGCTGGACGCCATAGCCACGGCTGCGGCGCTTTGAATAAACGCCACAACCGTGGCTATGGCGTCCAGCCCAGGCGCCAATCTACTGGTTGCGGCGTCTGCAGCTGGCGCCACCACCGCTGGCTGGGCGTCCGGCCAAGGCGCCCCTCCTCCGTCACGGCGGTTTTCCCTTTTTTTTTTTAAAACAAATTGTACCTTGCCTCCTTGAGGCCTCCTTTCCTCCGCCGCCACCGCCAATTCCTTGCCTTGCCGCCTCGACATTGCCGTTGTTTGAATATTTTTTTTTTTTGAGATGTTGAAAGAAGATGAGCGATGACAGTGTGAGTGATGAGAGTGTGAGTGTTTTTTTTTTAGGTCAAGGGCAATATTGTCAAATCAAGTGAATTTTGTGGGCTTTATGTGGAGATTTGCGGGCGATGTTTAACAAATCCCATTTCTAGACTTTGGGGGCAAAGTTTTCCAAAGACCTGCATTTGGAGACAGACAGTAAGCAACAATGGCTAGATATGATGATTAGCCACGACAAATAAAAAGGTTCCACAATAGTCACATTAATGTACCAGTTCAGCGATCATACATTATGTCAATAATCATATAATAAAGTGACGGCGTGATGCAACCTCAGAAGACAATAGACATGCTTGTATATATTAATTGTAAGAAAGTATAAAATATGGAAAAGGGTTCCATCAACATTTTAATTCTATGAATACATATGAGCATATACTAGTAAACAAATAACTGCCATAAAGCACACTTTGGACTACTAGGTATACAATATGGGACATATAAGAGAAGAATTGGAGACCTATTACTACTCAACATGCTCAATCATTTTATGCTACTCAAAAATAAGAGCAGATTCTTGCCCAGTTACCAGCTCTACCAACTATATCTCTGACGGGGTCTGCAGCAGCAACACGGGAAAGAATCCAGCCTTGTCCACAGTATACCAGTAAGTTACCATGATGACCATCAAGTTTTTGTCATTGACTCACCTCGTTAGTCATCTTTGAAGAATTACTCCGTATAATTTAATCTTATTTCTTAACAAAAAGTAAGTACACTGAACATTGAATCACTTGAAGTGAAATGTGCCCAATCTTCAAACTTTACCCGTAAATCAAGCATTTAATGGCTCGTCTTCTGGATCCCTCTCCTTCATATCTGTCCATTCTTGTGGCTCTGCAGCAATATACATTCTTCATTAATAAAGCTCTAAGCACAAAATTCAATTTGAAAAATACCACTTCAAGATTGCACTAAATTCAGTATGTAAAGTAACCAGTGACTACCACCATCAAGCATTGTGAGCAAAGACGGGAATATCTGGGGGAAAAAAAATTCAATCTAAATTACAACTCACTTGGTCTTTGACTATCAGCAATGACACAAAGCCGCCTCTGCAATATGGATGCCACAAAGAGGAAAATGGAACACATGCCAAACATGACTGTTATGGGGAATGCCTCAACCTGACAAAACAAAACAAATTTGTTAGCACTCATTCTTCCATTAAAATAAGTGAAAACTAGGGAAACAAGACCCAACTTACATTGTACAGCACAATGCACACGAAGATATTCAGAGGTATGCGGAAGAAGTTCATGATTGTGCTTCGTGCCTCTTCCGGAATATACTGTGACCTCATCTTCATGATTGATGGCCAGAAGATCCCCACACAAGCCTCAAATACACAGAAACCAAGCATCTGGATGTAGCCGGCAAATGACATACCTCCACCTTTCACATTGGATGGTGCTACCAGGAACTTTTTTCATGAACAGATTAATCACCAAGGTTAGATACATGCAAAAAGGGCTATCACAGAAATACAAGACAAGAAATCAGAAATCTAGATAGAGTACATAACATTTTAAAAACAACATACACTTGTCACAATTGGGAGCGTGAGTGAGGCAGAAGATATGGTAAAGACAATCTGCATATAGCTCTCAACTTTGGCAGAACGGGCCAGCAATCGTGATGCAAGGGAGCTTCCCAACATCGAGGCCAACATGAATGTTGCAAAAATGAAACCGTGAGGAATTTCTTCATCATTTGGGCTCAAAGCAGGAGTCCATAGAAACACAAATGTATACATGGAACCTTCAAACAAGGACTGTATTGCACCCAGCAACGCAATTTTCTCATCTGTTACCAAATTAGCAGAATTTAGAAGTCACTTCCAAGTTGTACATGGGGGAGTGGGGGCAAAATGAACAAATGATGATCCGGCAACTCAGGTAGCTGAGGGAAAAGCAAAGAGGAGCAGAACAGTAAAAACAAGTATTCCAAATTTTCATACTTCTTTTTATACATGTCAAACTCATATCAGAAACAACTCCTTTGATTTGTGAATGAAAATGCATGGGCGGAAAATATGATTTATTCACCTTAATCCCTTCGCGAATCAGAATGAAAAAGATATGAATGCCATGATCATATAAACAACAATACATCATAACAAGGCACGATATGAAGAATGCCCTTTGGTAATCTTATCCAGGAACAGTATTTGGGTTTTTGAAGGAATCAATCGATATTAAACTAATACAGAGAGATTCCTGTCAATAATGGAATCTCAGTGACTATGTACACAACAGTATTTTGAATAGCAGAAAGGTCCTTTAAAAATACTTGGTAACTGTGTTGTCCTCCACATAAAAAGTTGGGTAAAACTAGTAGAAGAACTAACAGCACGTTTGGTAATTGCTAATAAACGATGTTAATGGGAATGTATTTGTATTTGTATTTTTTTTTTAAACATGAAAGTCCTGCCAATGCCCATGGTAATCGTACATCACCCCGACTACCTCTCTTCTTTATCAATTTAATTAAAATTCACTACCACTTGATAGGAGGTGTTGAGTGATATTGAAAATTTAATAAGGGCAGTAGAAGTTTGGAGAAGGGGTTGCCCGGTTGCATTACACATTGAGATGATACTTACCATGCAACATTATTACTATCTACCAAACAGGCTAGAGTGAAGATAAATCACAAGCAGAATACATCCCTGGTACAGAAGTCAAAATTCAAATTAATTTTGACAATGTGATGAAAACAGCGAAAGAAAAAACATTTCTCTAATACTGTCAAGTGTCATGACATTAGTTTAGTTTATTCCATAATGGTGTTGCTGATGTCAGGAGATTCAGAACTAATATGCACAGTTTAAGGCTTCATTACTGGGATATAAATTGCATTCAAATAGATAAAAGAATACTTTCTTCCTCTCCTAACAAATAATAGAGGCCATACATGAATAAAGCATCTTCCATCATTGACTACTATGACACATGAAGACCCAAAATAAGAAACTGCTCACACACCAGTCACGGAAATAAATAGCAACTTGAGGTGCATAGCAATATCAATAATATGTCTCTTATACGCAAGAATCCTTCACATTGACTGATTGAATCGACCATAATTGATCATGATGCATCATAAAGTAGAGGACTAGATTGAGGAAAAGAAAATAGCACTTTACCAGAAGCAATAGCAACAGCAGCACCCTTGAATTGTGTGAGCAAGTCTTTACTTTCTGAAGAATCCCCAAAGTTTTCACCCCATGAAGTTATTATGATTACCATACCAATGATAAGGAAGCAGGATGCAGCATCAAACGGAGCAACAGCACCCAACCCAAGAGTATCAACAAGCAGATTGCCCAATAATCCAGCCAAAATGGCAACTAGGCCATTACCGAAGAAAATGGCCTTGGAGAACGTCAGAGAAAGCCACTGCTGTTCAAATCCTTTCTGCATAAACCCAGAAGAATTTAGATTAACAATCAAAGAAATCAAACACATTATAAGATATAAGCATGTAGCTCATTGGTTCACAACAGTTTGTTCATAGTTTATAGTTCTATACTAACCATGTCAAATACAAATACACAATTACAATCACACTCGTCTCTAGAAAACAGCTAAACACACATGATTACCACTTTTCCTCCAAAAACTAATACTTTTTAAGTTTGAAGAAACTGCAAGTTTTGAGTTGACTACAAAGAAAAATGATAGTACAATTCACACCTTATTGTGCTCAGCAACAAGCCACGACTCAAAGGCCGAAAACAGAAGTGAAGTGGCAATGCCTCCCAAAATACGCCCGACCATCAGAATTCTGTATTGTGGGGAGTGCTTGGTCATGCAACTCAAGATATAAGTAATACAGTAAGTAACACATGCCCTCTTACGACCCCTGAAAACAAAAACCCGACGATAATCAGTCAAACCATCAACAAAGCTTAAGATAACTTAAACACCGTCAATGGGGGTATGAAAATCATACTGTTTATCAGCAAGGGATCCGACAATCGTCCCGAACAACATGGATGATCCGAACCCGGCAATGAAAAGCTGCCCAATGTCTCCCTTACTAAAACCATAGGTAGTGTATAGATAATACACATATGGGCCTTGTAGCCAATCCCCAGCTGTTGCCAATAATTTAAAATCAGCTCAATTATTTCACTCCAAATTAAATCAACCCTTAATAATAATATACATTCTACAATATATAATATACCCCTAAATGACAATCACCAAATCTAATCAGAGAATGTCTTACTATAATTTATTTAAAAATTAGCATACAAACACACAATAATAGATCCATTACAAATATCAAAAGACACAATCTATAAACCCCATTTCATATAATCATTCAGAATTAAAAAATTGAACAATTCTATACCCAAGATCTGAAATTCAGAATATAAAATGATCATTCAAAAATACTAAAGAAAAATTAAATGGGGGTGAAGGGAAAGAGAGGCAGATCTGAGGAGAAAGAAAGATACCCATCATAAGAGAGTAAACGAGCAAGTAATTGTTCTTGAAAGTGTTGAAAGCAGAGGAAGTATTGATGCGATCTTTGCTGTTTTTGCTGAGCTCTAATGCTGCAACAACAGCAGCCATGGCACCGAACACCAGAATGTAGAAAATCTCCATTGTTAATGCTAAGCTTTTCTTGATCTGATTTCTGCAATACACTCACTGTTGAAGGAGAGAAAGAGGAGAGAGAAAGTAGAAGAGGGAATGAGAATGAGATTGGGAATTTATTGTGAGAGTGCCAAAATGAAAGGAGAGATGGAGTGTAAAAGGCAAAAAGATGAACAGAAATTGGTGTGTAACTAGTTTATAAGGATTTTAATTTATAAAAATTAGAATTAAAGTGATATTGGCTTCATAAATACTTTATCTCATGCAAATTTTTTTTTTTTTTTTCTTCTTTGGCTTGAATAGAAAGCATTAATTAGCATTGTTAATTTTGTTGTTGATCAAGAGAGGGAAGGAGCCATGTAAGATGTAACATTGTAACTAGGTTAGAGCATAGTGTTCATAAAGTATAATAATTTTAAAACAAACTAGTCGATAGGTTATTATATTAGAGAAAATAAACAAAACCGGTGTGGTAAATAAATGATAAGTATAAACGTAAATACATGGATGCAATTTTAATTATGGACTTATATTTGTATTTTTGTCAAAAATAAAGTTAGCTAAAAAAATCAAACTATTAATTTATTGTACGGAGTAAATATCAATTACACATGCTATTACAAAAATATTACTTTTAGTTTGAAAGCTTATGTACATTTTCTACTCATATATTCAAACTTAAATAACTCCTACTTAAATAATAAATTCTTGTTTATTTTTTAAAAAATATTAAATTGTTATATACATTAAATTGATATAAATTTAACTTTGGAAGCAACAATACAAATTAAAGAACTTGTATAAATTTGTTCCAATATAATTAAAGAACTTAAATAATTATTGCTTTTGTTTGAACTAATTATTGTTTGCTTAAATTTTGTTTGCATTCTTTTTTTGGTCAATAACTTATTTATAAAGAAAACAGTAAAAATCCACTAAAAAATACTCGTAATAAATATATGATTAACAATATGGTTATGGTTTCCTCAAAAAAAAAAAAAAAAAAAAAAAAAAAAAAGGTTTTGGTTTATAAAGGCCAAAGTGAAACATTCAATTATAGAACTAAGACATATTAAGTTTTGGTATGATACCACGATTTTATTTTTTCATTTTTTTTGGTATTTCACCTAGGTCCTCCTTTAGGCAAATCCAAATTCGAAAATCAGTTCTAATTGATTAAATTCCAGTCCCCTCACAATTCAATTATTGGTGTAGGGGATCGAACACGCAGTCCTCCCTACCAAGTGTAGTCCTAATTACCACTACACCACCAACTAATATTACTATTAGTATAAACACCCATGATTATCCCTTAGTAATCAATATATCAAACTCACTAAATTGGTACTAAAAGGGAAGAAATTAATTTAAAATTTCCTAATTTGTTATTAGTTGGTGGTGTCATCAACCGCGTGAATTGATTTTGTAATTAAATGCGTGTATACCAAAGCACATTGCTTAAAGATCCTTTCTCTTAATTTTAGCAGTCTTCGCACGAGTTATGCTTATGGGAGATATTTGTTCAATAATTTTGTATACTGTACACCGACGCTGTGCTATTGATTGCTCCTGCTTGATGTGCCAGTATTCCTTTTAGGCATTCACATTTAGGACTTTTTTGCACCTATATGTTAATCATAAACAAATTTTTACAAAAGTAAAGTAATTTATGTACGGAGTATGTTACAACCAGTGAACCAGCAGTCCAGCATTGGTCATACTGTACAAAGTATGGACTAGTAATGGAAAAAAAATAAATAAAAATCTCGGTTGTATCTTGTAAAGTGTAACCGATTGTAGGGTGAAAATCCTCTTAATAGTATATTGATTTTCGAAATTATTGTACATTTTAGCAAGGTACAAGGAAATTCCAAGGTTTCTTTTTCTCATGGCAAGCTATAAAGCGTAATGAATAATATAAGGAAATTGTTAAAATAGCTCTTACATTCGAATCAAATTATTACGAGAGCCTATTAAAAGTCTATTATGACCACTTCTTTGCATACAGAAGGGCTACTAAATACTTATTGAATTGTCATATCAATCTCAGGTATATAATCACATTACTCTTGACACTAATCTAAGTGTTGACGAGGGTTTCACTGAGGCAGCTCACTTAGTCACTTTGTTGATTGTGCATGTTCATTTCAAACTCAGCCTCAACTGGATCCATACTTTTTCAATTGTAAATATATTCGCGAGAACAATCGGTAAGGGATCTTGATGAATTATCTCCTCTGGCATGTCAATTCAATTCAGATTTGCAGGTGGTGTGTAAAACATTTATATTACACCTTACTACAATTAACTTTTACATACTTCCAATGAACATAAGCAATAACTGTAAAATTGGCTCCACTTGAACAAAGGCTTCCTGGTAGTTCATTAGTTTTATTAGCAATTACAGTACATACTCGGACTGGTATTCACTTAGACTGCAGTTTTGAACTTGAGTACATCATTTACAGCAGCATCCCTATAGAGTAAGATATCAACCACGCCACAAACCATATGATACCCACGCTTCTTGAGCTCAATAGGTTCATCATGTGGCATTGCAAACCCAGCTAGATAAACCCTTTTGTCACCCTTAGGCTTCATGCCTAACACTGCATTCTCCACTGTCTGAACCATCTTCACAGCATTTTCGTTACCAGGGTCTTGAATGTAACCCATGTTAGCACCCAGATCAGTTGGCCCAAGCATGATGCAATCCATCCCATCAATGGCCGCGATCTCCTGGATTTTATTCACAGCCTCCTCTGACTCAACCTGGCACATGATGAGCAGCTCCTCTTCGCACCAGTCCAGGTATGTTGGGTCAAGACCATACTTGGAAGCTCGAGTGATGGGATGTGCCACTCCTCGGATACCAGCCCGTGGATAACGACAGTAAGAGACTGCCTCTTGGGCCAACTCTGGGGTGTGAATCATAGGAAACATTAGCCCTTGAGGACCTAAATCAAGAGCCTTCTTAGCCCACATGACGGAGCACTCAGGCAATCTGAGGATAGCTGGAGTTTGAGAAGCAGCAAGGGCGTTGAGGCAAGAAAGAGCCTCCGATATCCCACCATAGCCGTGCTCCATGTCGATGACAACAAAATCATAACCGGCATGGCCAGAAATTTGAGCAATAGTCGGAGAGAAGCTATCAAAGAAGAGACCATACAGGCAATCCCCCTTTCTAAGACGCGATTTGATGGAGGGAATTTGTGGAGAAACTGAAGTAGCCATTCTTACTACAAGTTATTTTGTGGACAGAATTCTGGAAGTAATCCTACCAATATCACTCAATGAGCTTGAAAGTGATGTTAATTTCAAAGCATGCATTATGTTATTGTGAAAATTGAGGATACAAGTAAGCACTGAAAAATATACATTGTATGTCATATGCAACTAATAAAAAAATTATGGTACTGGCACTTGGCAAAACTTGGTTATATCAATTAGGAAAATTTTGTTTGATAATAACCTTCACTCTAAAACAACTGAATAGGACTATTTTTCAGTTTTTAAACTCCATTAACATCAAATTACAAATGAGCATAAAAAGTATCCTTAACAAAGATGAAATTCATGTTTATTATTTGGAATCATAGTAACCCGTCTCAAAGATGGGTTTATAATCTAATCTCAACAGTTTTTCTTCCAAATCACATTGTGTCATCCAAAATAACCTTAAAATGTCCTAAGCATATTATAAACAATACATACGATAACAAATAGAGACAACCCAAAATATCGAACTTTATTTCGCCATGTTCCAATTACTAACAACTTGTCCAATTAAGCTAAAGCTAACTACTCCACTAATCCAATACAATGACATTTTAACTCATTATTTAACTCCCTAAATCAAAAACAATTGACAATCAAGAAAAATAACAGTGTCATTTAATAAATAAAACTAAAATCACTCACTCCAATACTTATCATCAGCATCAACACCCTCAGCCGTTGGATCATCATCATCAGACGAAGCATCACCAATCTCCAAACTAATCTTAAACTTCCTAACATCTTCCACCGCAGCTTTCCTAAACAACAGTATATCCACCGCACCCGATACCATGTGATACCCACGTGACTTCAACTCCATTGGACTATCATGCGGCATAGCAAACCCTGCCAAGTAGGCCCCACCATTTTTCTCATTTCCAATTTTACCCTCCAACACTTCCTTCTCAGCCTTCCTCAACTTCTCTCTCACCTTCTTATTCCCTGGGTCCCACAAATACCCCATACTCGCACTCAAATCCAACGGTCCCATTTGAATGCAATCCACCCCTTCAACGGCTGCGATCTTCGAGATTTTCTCAATCGCATCCTCGCATTCCACCTGGCACATGATCAACAACTCATCTTCACAATTACCTAAATACCCCGCGTCGATTCCGTACCCGGATGCCCGGACTATTGAATGGGCCGCCCCACGGACTCCATTGGGCGGGTACCTGCAGTATGATACGGCCTTTTGGGCCTCTTTTGGGGATTCAATCATTGGGAACATTATACCTTGTGGGCCCAAATCAAGGGCCTTTTTGGCCCAAGCTGCGGTGGATTCCGGTAACCGGAGAATTGCCGGAGTTCCGGTGGCGGCGAGGGAACGGAGACATGTCAATGCCTCGGGGATGCCGCCGTAGCCGTGTTCCATGTCGACGACGACGAAGTCGTACCCGGCGAGGCCTGCGATTTCGGCGAGGGTGGGGGAGAAGGAGCAGAGGAAGAGACCGTAGAGAGTTTCGCCATTTTTGAGGCGGGTTTTTAGGGTTTCGGTGGGTTTAGCGGCGTCGTTTGCGGTGGCATTGATGGCGGAGAGTCGGGGTTTTGGGGGTTGAGTTAGGGTTAGGGTTTTTGGAAATGGGGTGAATTGGGGATGATTTTGGGATGTGATTGAAGGGGACAAATTGGAGGGATTGTTGAAAGAGAAGGATTGAAATTGGGGTTGGGATTTGGATTTGGAAAATGGGTTGAGAATTAGGAGAGAGGAATTGGGGGAAATGATAGTTGACATTGTTTCAGAGAGGAGCTCACTAACTCACTCACCGTGCAGTGTGAAATCAAGTGTGACCGTGTGAGAATGATTAAATTAGTGAGTCAGATAGGGAAAACTAACCTTTTTTTTTCCTCTTAATATGGCCTTGAAAGGATAAAATCTAAGGGTATGTTAAACTAAATTGAGATGAAGTGAAATTAAGTTGTGTAGATTAGACTCTAAGTTTATCTTTAAGAATAGAATTTGATTCAATTCATTTTACTAAATTTAGTATTACTTTTGGATGATTAATTTAATTGCAATGCTCTTTTTTCTCATTAATTGCAAATTTGAGACAAGGAGCCTAATTGTGATTTATAGGCCTACATTATTGTACTTAGGGTTAATTTTTCACATGAGTATAATAAATCATAATTTGTATTTATAAATTGATGCATAATGATTGATCTCACTCATATGTTAGGTATTGATCTCACACGATGTGACCAACCATAATAATGGTTATTTTGTTAGTTTTTAAGGGTTATGTGTAGAGCTGTCAAAAGTTGACCCGACCCGAAATACCGAATCAAACCCGATTATTAACCGACCCATTTGAACCCGAAAAAATGGTGACCCAAACCCGATCTGACCCGATCTGAAACCAACCCTAGACCCGAGTTGACCCGAATATGTGAGACCCGAACCCTAACATGAATTGACCTGGAGATGACATGACCAGAATGTAACCCGTAAATTATTGACCTGAACCGAACCCAAATTGAATCGAAATTGATCCTAACCCGTCAAAACCCGAATTTAACCCGACTTGTTACTAACCTGACCTGAATTCAACCCGACCCGAATTTAACCCAACCTGTTACAAACCCGACCCGAAATCAACCCGACTTGTTATTGACCTGACCCAAATTCAACCCGACTTGTTATTGACCCGACCCGAATTTTACCAAACCTATTACTAACCCGACCAAAAAATTCAACCTGATCTGTTACTAACCCGACTCGAAATCAACACGACTTGTTATTCACCCGACCTAAATTCAACCCAAATTGTTCCTGACCCGATTTCAAATCACCTTAAATGCAATTTAGATCACCTTATTATTGTTGATCAAAGCATTTTGTCTAGGGAGACCAAGTTGGTCCAGGCCATCAGAAGAAAGAAGCATTATCCTCAAATTTAAGAGTTAAATATAATATATATTTGTTGTATGGTCAAAGGAGATAATTATCTTCCTAAATTATAAACTATAGTTCCCTATTATATTTTCATATATATTACTTATAGTCAAAGGAAATAATTAACTTGATAAAAATTATAATTATCAATTTCTAGTTAGTTGAACCCGAACATGACCTGAATTGGAAATGACCCGACCTGATTGTAACCTGCAAATTATTGACTTGGACATAACCTGACTTGACTCCGAAAATGACCCGACTTGAAAATGACCCAACCTGATTATAACATGCAAATTATTGACTTGAACCCGAGAATGACCCGATTTGAAAATGACCCGACCTGATTATAACTCGCAAATTATTGACTTGAACCGAACCCGACTCAAACCCGAGAATGACCCGACCTGATTCTAACCCGCAAATTATTGACTTGAACCGAATCCGACTCGAACCCGAGAATCACCCTAACCCGTTTTAACCCGTGAAAACCCGAATTAAACCCGACCTATTGTTCACCTGACCCGAATGTAACCTGACCTGTTATTGACCCAACCCAAACCCAATAAGAAGTATGACCCGACTTAAGCATGACCCAACCCAAACCCGACCGGTATAAGTTATGGAATTAATCCGAATTGAACCGACCCGAAACCTAAACTCGATCTGTTTACCCGAATTGATAGCTCTACCCGAAACCTCCAAAATTTCTCAAAAAACGTGGATAATTAGCCTTCAATTTTTGAATTTTTAGATTTTTTTTTAACTGAAAATAAAAATTACTGAAATGTTTACCATGGTCCTTAATATCCTCGGGGAGTCCAATTGGATGGGTGAAACCATCCAATTTGCCTTTAAATGACCAATTTACCGGTTTACAACTTCCAACCATTTCATTTACTCAAGCTTACCATGAAAATTTATAAAATTTATGACAACATATAATGATCAATTTGGATCCAAACGGAAATATATGACCCCAAGATGTATCCCCATCAATTTTGGAATTTTTGACTTCTTTTCGCCCGGACATAAAAATTTCAGAAATTTTTACCATGGTCCCAAATATGAAGAAGTTATGTCTTCGATAAGTGCAATTACTAGATATATCAAGGATCAATATTATGGAGATAATAAGTTCATTCTATAGGGTCGTCAATGTTTGGTGCTAGATATGACAATTGATCTTTGGGCTAGCTTAATGGCCCAAAGCCTTATAGAATGGATCCTACAAGGTCACACATAAGATATTGGGTTAAACAAGTTAGAGGCCCATTATTGGGCCTCATGAGTACATGACATACCATGTTGATGATTGGGCTTGCATAGTTATAAGAGTCTAATGGGTTTTGGACTTGACATGGTTTTATTTCTAGATATGATCTATAAATATAAACCATGCCTAGGGTTGCATGACACAACAATTGACATACAATGAATTGTCACACAAGCAACCAGGTTTCCCAAAAACCCTAACTCTCTCTTTCTCTACTCAGCCCTCCCTCTCTCCTCCCTGTCCATACGGCCCTCCTCCCCGGGTGGCGCGTGTGGTGGTGCGTGGGTGGTGTTGTGGTGTGTTCATGGCTCAAATCTCCGTTGAAGGTTGATTGAAGTGTTCAGCCACAACTAACTAGCATTAGTGGAGGTTTAATCCATGCTCGTGGACTAAGTAGAGGAATCACGCTTGGGGTTCTTTATCTCCCATTAATCTTACTCGATCGCACGTGGAATTACGCTTCAAAGGTACGATTATATGTTCTTTATGTGTTATGCATTAGATCTTGGGATAAGGTACTGTATGAATATGATTCATGTTTTTCCGCTGCGTAGTACCTATAAACTCCTACAGTGGTATCAGTTAGCCTATTGCATTTACGCATATTGACTATAATTCTTTGATAGTCCACAATTTTAATTCAATTAAGAGGGAGATTAATTTAATTATGGTTCAATTATTATTTTTAATGTGATTAAACTTTTGGAATCGATTAAATGCGATTTAATTATGCTCAAATAGCCATGAAGATGACCGTTTTTAGCCCTAATATGTTCGAAAATTTCGAACCCCCTAACCCTAAATTTCGAAAATCCTAGCCCTAAAATATGATTTTTTGTGCTTGATTTTGATTTAATTCGGTTTATTTTATGATTCATAATTTTAATCGGATTGATTTATGCATAAAAGTGTTTTATGTATGATGACCAATTTAATTTTAAAAGTTAGAATTAAATTGGGATTAAAATTCATGAAGAACCCTAATTTTGAAATTGAATATGATTTAATTTTAAAATTAGATGGACCACATTAATTTTAATTTTAATAAAAATGTTTTGTTTTAAATTAAATCACCAAAAACCAAAAAAAAAATTAAAGGGAAATTGAGGTGCGGCAGCCGCGGCTAGGTGGCGCAGCCACGGCGACTGCCGCACCGGTGGTGGTCCAAGAGGGAGGGTGGGGTGGGCTCGGGTTAGTCAAGGGGCAGCGCAACAGTGCATCACCCCGTTGTGTGTGCTGCTGGTGCCGTCCTTGCGTCGCTGCAGGGGCAGCGTTCACCGCAAGGTGTACGGCCATCGTGGCCGGCTTCGGCTGGCCACACCACGGTGGCTGACGCGGCTTTTTCAAAAAAAAAAACTGTTTTGAAAAATTATTTCAAGATAATTATGAATTATTTTGGGATAAAATCAGTTTTATTTTTGGATAAGATAAAATATTTTGAAAATATGATCTTTTATTTTAAAAGATAAAATTGGTTTTATTTGGATAAAATCTTTTATTTTAGGATAAAATCAAATATTCAAAAGTTGTTATATTTGATATTATCCATATTTAAAGTTGTTAAATTGGTAATTATCCATAATTAAAGTGGTTAATTTTGGATAAGATTTGTTAGGATATTCTGAGCATCTTCCAAAAGGATAATAATTGATTTAAATAATGTGATTATCCCATAATTAATATTGGATATAATTGATTTAAAATTTTGTGATTGGCTAGTAATTAGGATAGAATTTCCTAACTTTGTTAAGATAATCTTTGAGGATAAATATGATTTATCTTTTAAAGATTAAATAAAGATTTGATTCTATCTCATGACTAATTTAGAATATATGATATTTTATTTATGGTCATGAATAATATATGATATTATCTAATTGCATTAATTAAAATACGAGATATTTTGGTGCCATGTTTCCTTAATTGTGAACATTCGATGTTGTAGTTTAGGAAAGCATGATGAGTGATTTATTATGTGACAATTTTATAATACTACCTCCGTTAATTGTTACTTGCAACTTTGGTGAACACGGACCCCAAGGCAAAATTTCCAAATTGTGTTTAGTAAAAAGTTATGCATGTGCTAATGTGGAGAGAGAAAGTGGGGGGACCATCTTAACCCCTAAAAAAGGAGGGAGTGAGTCCCGAATTTTTTTGGGTGGGGTTACTTTTCCCTTCTTTTTGCTTCCTAAATTTTGGCCTCCTTTAAAAATTTCTTATTTTTCAGACATTTTGGGATATAAAGTTTCCCTCCATTACAAAAGCATGGGTTCAATAATAAAGGGGCATATAAATACATCCACTCATTTCAGTTTATCTCCCTCTTTTTCTTTCTAATGTTCACCAAAAATTTACACACCATGTTTCCTCACTAATTTAAGTCACCAAAATTTACACACCCATATTTTTCAACTACTAAGAAAAAAAAAAAGGCCTTCATTGTTCCATCTGAGCTTTGGCAGCATTCTTCTACTACAGCACATCATCCAAAAAAAAACTCTTTCTTCTACTCCTGTATTCTGTAGAATAAAAAAAAAACAAAAAAACAAAAAACCAGAAATTTGGCAGAGGAAATTGATGATGGGTTTTTCAGCATAGACCAACTACTAAATGAAGAAATGCAAGAAGATTCAGATTCTGATGCAGAGTTAGAATTTATGGCACAAGGCTAACATGAGCCTATTGTACGAACAAAAAGGCCTGAACTTGGAA